TGTGTGTGTATATATATATATATATAAAAATTGTCCCCATCTTACATTTCCAAAATTTGCCTTTTCTCCCCTACGTGACCATCATAACTAGTCAAAGTAAATATTTTCTTTACTAAACATATTTTCTCGTTTTGGGCCTCTCAATCTTTTGCCTTAGAAGGCCCTAGAATATAAGACTTAAGAGTATTTTGGGTATCAGGCATCCCATCAGGGATCACTCCCAGGAATCTCAGATTTAGATCATCCCTATTCTGATCTAGTCATTAATTTTTAATCAGAAATATAAATCTTACAGAAAAGAGGTTGGAGCAATCCTAAATTCAGGTTGGTTTCCAGGATACCAGTGGTTCATGGTGGGAGGATGCTGTCAGAGAAACTTTATAATTACAACTGGAACACTCAATCCTTCCCTTAAATGACTTTTCGTCTTTCCCTCTCCCCACCTCCTCATCTTAGGAAATCTCTACTCCCCTTATGTTGCATGCCTCTTTGGTAAAGAAACACTGTGATTTACAAAATAGTAAGAAAACTTGTGACTAAACCCCTTGAGGAAACAGTCATGTGTTGTTTTCCCAAAGACTACAGCAAGATTCTACCAAGACTCCTGACCTGGAACACAGTATAAATTGAATTAAGAATAACAGGGTTTTGAAAATGGCAAAGGACAGATCAGTATGCTGTCATATGCAAATAAAGGGGGAATCTACAACTATGGGCTTATATATATTGACTATGCTGGAAAGATATGTTGAAATTGGCAAAAGTGGGTGAATCTAGGGAGGGGAGCAGGGGACTTGGGAAGGTCTGAGTAAGATATTCTGCTATGCTTTTTTATACTGTTTGAATATTCACCATGTATCTATTGTGTTTTCAAGTAATGACATGGCTTCTTCACTGCTCCCAATTCCACAGGAAACTTACTAGGCAAAGCCACAGACATAAGAATTATTCTGACAAGTGGCTCCCCTGTATTATCGTACCTTTCTCCTCCTAGCCTCCCCATTACCCAATCCCCAGTGCAACAGATAACAATCTCACATGATCTTAGACTGTCTATAAATAAGACACTAAGGTGCATGCATTCAGTCAGTGACTTTCATCAATATAATATGGAACTGGAGGCCAGGCATGGTGGCTCACATCTATAATCCCAGCACTTTGGGAGGCCAAGGCGGGAGGATCACCTGAGGTCAGGAGTTTGAGACCAGCCTGGCCAACATGGAGAAACCCCATCTCTGCTAAAAATACAAAAATTAGCTGGGTATGGTGGCACGTGCCTGTAAACCCAGCTACTCAGGAGGCTGAGGCAGGAGAATTGCTTGAACTTGGGAGGCGGAGGTTGCAGTGAGCCAAGATGGTGCCACTGCACTCCAGCCTGGGCAACAGAGTGAGACTCTGTCTCAAAAAAAAAAAAAAAAAAAAAAAAAAAAAAAAACGGTACTAGAGGCCGACAGGAAGTAGAACTACGCCATTCCAAAATCTATAAAACAGTAATAACCAACATACATGGCCATGTGCCACATAATTATAATACTTATTTTTATAGTACCTTGTCTATGTTTAGGTATGTTTAGAAACACAAATAGTTACCATTGTGTTACAATTGCTGTATTCAGTACAGTAACAGGCTGTACAGGTTTGTAACCTATGAGAAACAGGCTACGCCATATAGCCTAGGTGTGCAGTAGGCTACACCATTTAGGTTTAAGTATACTCTATGATATTTGCGCGACAAAGTTGCCTGATGCATTTCTTAGAACATATCCCCATCGTCTCTGTCATTCAGCGATGCAGGACTGTATACTATTCACTCCATGTTCTAGCGCTGTTCACACATAAAGCACTTAGAACAGTGCTTTACATATGACAACGCAATCAAGTCCCCCAACCACCTCACAGGTGGTTCCTATTACATACACGCAAGAAAACAAAGGCACAGAAAAGTTGAATAATTTGCCAAGGTCACACACTGGAAAGAGGCAGGACTAAGATGGGAAGCCAGGGTATGCTCTCGCCCATAGCAATACTGCTTCAGTACCACCCATGGTAAAAGAACTTGGAGAGATGGCAACCTAACATTATTTTAAGAGTTGCCATTAAAATTGCTCTCACTGTGGTTTACCAACAAAGCCAAAAGTCTTTAAATGAGTTCCTCAGGAATATTTTCTTCCTACAAATATTCAGTGTGGCAAGGTCTACATAGGCTGTGATGCTCCTACTTTATATATCTGTAGTACTTTCTGTATCTATATACCGTGTATAGTAATATACTCTATTACTTTATATTTCTATATCTCACCGAATCAGCCAGTGTTCAGCTATATGATGATCAACGCTTTCAGTTTCTTGTTCGGTACAGCACAGTCTCTCAACTGTTTACCAGAAGAAAAATAACAAAAATATCTACTGAAGACCAACTTCCAACTGGTGAAACAACTTCAGCAAAAAAGCAAATTGCACCAATGTGATACAGCTGAAATGCATATGAAAATATTAAGCAGTATTAAAAAGTCAGAAAAGATGCTGATATCAGCTATAAATCATGTCCACATGTAAAACAAAAATAGTTCGGAGAGGCATATGAAAGTGTTTAAAAAGACAGAAATGTTAAAAACAAAATAAAAACTGACTCGGTCATGTGTAAACATGTGACACATTATAGTTTTATCTCTGCACAATCACTGAGACTTGTTGAGGAAAAAGTTTTATAAACAGTTGGTTGACAGTACAACTAGGCAGAGATAAAGTCCAAACTAATCAACTTGAGAACTTGGTTCCGTATTTTTCTAAAGAATATGCCTTAACACGGCTTGTGTTCTCTGTTGTAACCATGACTAGTATAACTATTCTTAATTCTAAATAAAGTTTTTCCATAATTCTTACAAAATTTACCTCAAATGCAGGTCTTAAGAAATATTAAAGTTTACTTTTTTATTGTAAAGAGAAGAATCAAAAATGTTCAGCAGGAGACCATTTGAAAGATCGTTCAGTCATATTAAAAGTAAATGCGGGCTGGGCACAGTGGCTCACACCTGTAATCCCAGCACTTTGGGAGGCAAAGGCGGGTGGATTACTTGGGGTCAGGAGTTCAAGACCAGCCTGAGCAATGCAGTGAAACCCCGCCTATGCTAAAAATACAAAATTAGACGGGTGTGGTGGCACAACCCTGTAATCCCAGCTACTTGGGAGGCTGAGGCAGGAGAATCGCTTGAACCCACGAGGCAGAGGTTGCAGTGAGCCAAAATCACGCCACTGCACACCAGCCTGGGCGACAGAGCAAGACTCCATCTCAAAAAAACAAAAAAAAAAAGGTCAGTGGGTTTGGGAGTGGTGGCTTACACCTGTAATCTTAGCACTTTGGGAGGCTGACGCAGGAGGATCACTTGAGCCCAGGAGTTCAATACCAGTCTGTGCAACACAGCAACGACCCATCTCTACAAAAAAAATGACAAAATTTAGCTGGGCAAGGTGGTACTTATCAGTAGTTCCAGCTACTTGGGAGGCTGAGGTGGGAGGACCGCCTGAGCCCAAGAATTTAAGGTTACAGTGAGCCATCATTACACAACTGCACTCCAGCCTCAGGTGACAGAGTAAGACCCTGGGTCTAAAATATAGAAACAAATAAAAGTAAATATATGAAATGGGTAGTTTTTTAATGTAAAATACACTTCAGTAGAGTTGCTTTAAAAAAGTAAACAGATGGAGTATTTCTGGTACTTTTTAGCGTTCATCACCCAAGACAAATACATGTATATGTGTATCTAAACACACACACACACACACACACACACACTTTTGAGATGGAGTCTCACTCTGTCACCCAGGCTGGAGTGCAATGGCATGATCTCAGCTCACTGCAACCTCTCCCTCCCGGGTTCAAATGATTCTCCTGCCTCAGCCTCCCCAGTAGATGGGATTACAGGCACCCAACACCCCATCTGGCTAATTTTTGTATTTTTAGTAGAGATGGGGTTTCACCACGTTGGCCAGGCTGGTCTTGAACTGCTGACATCAAGTGATCCACCCACCTTGGCCTCCCAAAGTGCTGGGATTACAGGCGTGAGCCACCGTGCCAGGCCACATTTTGTTTTGAGATGGGATCTTGTTCTGTCACCCAGGCTGGCGTGCAGTGGTGTGATCATAGCTCACTGCAGCTTCAATCTCCTGGGCTCAAGCAATTCTCCTGCTTCGCCCTCCTGAGTTGCTGGGACTACAGGTGCACATAACCACACCCAGCTAATTCTTTCATTTTTTGTAGAGGTGGGTCTTGCTATGTTGCCCAGGCTGTCTCAAACTTAGCCTCAAGCAATCCTCCCACCTCGGCCTCCCTAAGTGCTGGGGATTACAGGTATGAGGCCCAGCTGCAAAATAAATATTGAAGGCAGAGGGTCATGAACTCCAATGCCTAAATGAATCAGGCAAGGGAAGGTAAACTTATGCCTGTGTATCTAAAGTAGACAGCTGCTGGTTAGCTCTGATGGATTGTTGCCACCAGGGTACAGCTAGGGATTCCCGATTTTCTAATTTCTCAAAAGAAACGGAAATATAGATTCTTATGAATTAAAACACTGGCAATACTGTCTGAGTCAAGGAGAATGCATTTGTAGATCAAATCTACTCCAAGGCCACCATTCTGCAAACTGCACAGAAGAATACCTTGGACGCACTTATTTGTTCTTTCTTAAGATATATTTCACAAGACAAAGTTTAAAAATAAATTTTGAAAAATACCTTAGTAAAAAACCCTCATGGGCAAGAAAAGCTTTTGCAATGAGTATGCTTAGCTTTCTTTGTGAATCAAATAGCCTGCAAATTTACAACTATGTCAAATAAAGTGATACAACAACTTGGATCTGAAGTGAGTTTCTGGAACCAAAAATGTCCACACTCCAAAGTAACTCACAGTCCGAGCTAGGAAAAATTCACAGCCCAGCAATGTGAGCACATCAGGGGCTAACTACTAAGGACAATGGTTTTCAAAGTCAGTGACTAAGCAGTTATTCTTATAATAAAATAATTATTTTAATGAAGTATTTGAAATAATTTTAAACATCTGATCAGTAAGATTATACATAAATGAGTAGGCTGCACTTTACAAAAAATAAAGGTAAGCATTTAAATATACAAAAACAACTTTGGATAAAGATCTCTTCTTAAAGTACTCCTTTAACATTCACATAATTTATAGCATTTTACATAACTTGCTGAAACAAAAAAAAGTGGCCAATTTAAAATTTACTATAGTGTAGAATGTGGCCATAACAGTCCCAATGGGAAGAACAGGATGCAGAATAACATACGTGAGGTGGTTTTTTTTGCTCTGAATTCTTATAAGTATAGCATTTCCCATTTCCGAAATACCTTCTTGGAGGATTCAATCATTTTTTTCTGTATGTGATTCTAACTACAGTGATTATTTTTCACCAGCTGTATTCCACACACGTGGAATTTTCTTTTTTTTCTTTTTTTAAAGAGGGTTTGCTTTGTCCATCAGCTTCTTCCTCAGGTGAACACATATAACTTGCTTCTCATATTTAGAGCTCATATTCCGAAGAGTGAGATACTGACAGTACCTTTTAAGTACAGAATCCAACATAAAGTCCTATTGTTAAAAATTTCTCATCATCAATTAGGATTTTTTAAATGTGCCAACACGCTTAAAACTTAGGATAACTAAAATACATTATGACAGAAGGAACTACAAAAACTATCCTTCTTGGGATTTAAAACAATACAAAACAAAAAATAACATTTTCCTTTCAAAATACTATAATTTGAAAACATCTGGTACATTCTCCTTTCTGGTTGTGCTGTGATTTTTTTCCCCATCAACAAAACATGTACCAATTGTTTTGGAGTTCCGATTCTACCTCTTCCCCTCTTGGGCGTATGAAGCACATTTCCTGTTTTATGATACCATTTTCACATTCCCCTCATCAGTTTGAAAGCAATGCCTTAACGTTCCTTCTAATACTTTGCACCTTTTCCGTTTTTTCAACAAGATACATTGGTAGATTTAATTTTAAGGTTTCCCTGATAAGGACGTCCCCTCACTTGGTACCAGAAACGGCATATGGTGATATGAAGCAGAGAATTAGCAATCGCAGGCACAATCTATCCCCATTTGTCTCGTTTTGACAACATTGGAACTCAGCCGACCAAAGTCACCACAGGCCCTACTCTGTGGTCTGTCATGTACAGAAGGTGACTGTCATAGTTAGCTAAGCAACTTCTGATTCCTGCCCAGAAAACCTACCACTTTAGGACAGGTTCAATATAGAATGACATAGTCATTCTTGTATTTTCTTACACCTCTTCCTTTCTCCTGCATCTCAATGCATGCTGTATTAGGGAAGGACACCTCACCTGCTACAGTTCGGCAGATGAGGCAGGTAGTAACAAACAGGGCCTTAACTTGCTTTAATTTAATGCACAGATGGGCAGATGCCGAATTCTGTGCAAAGTGTATTTCATAACCGATTTTCAGAAGACAAAGATGAATTTGAGTCTGTAAGAGCCCCATGGGATGGATAGGTAAGAGTTAATATAGTTTCTAACTGTAAACAATGCTCTTTCAATGTTGGTGATTATTTTCCAGAAATTGAAATTTCAGGACAGTGCAACAATGCTCTTTGTGTCTTCTTTGGCAGTAAATAGCAAGGATCTGGATGGAGAGTGGAGTGGTCACTTCAGAAGGGCCAGGTATAGAGCTCGAGAATACTTCATCTCCCGTTCCTGTTCCATACAAAATATCAAGTCCCTGAGGCAGACTCTCGTGATTCTTGGACGATGCAATTGTTTGGTGGCTGTCAGGCTGGATGTCCCAGAAGCAAGAAGGTTGTCTTTTAAGCCCTAAAAATAATAAAAGGAAAAGCAATTTGAAACAAAAATCTTTCATAAAGGGAAAGCCTGTCAATTCTAGCATGTAAGAGCCCACTACCCCCTGGTCACTGGGTTAGGTACTGGAGATAATAGAATGATGAAGACCTAACCCTGTCCTCCAGCAGCCAGCCTCAAATGGCCACTAAACCTATCACCTGAGCTCATTCATTCCTTCCTTCTCACCTGCAGCATGGCAATAGCCTCTGAAGTGGTTTCTCCATTTCCAGGCTCTACTTGGCTCCATTCTTTCCAGTGCATTGCAGGCCAGCCTTTCCCTCTTTAAAGGCCTTACACAAATCTTTTGAGAGTGATAGATGTGTTTATCACTTCGATTGTGGTGATGATTTCATAGCTGTATGCATACATAAAAATCTATCAAAGGTATACTTTAAATGTATGCAGTCCTTTGTATGTCAATAATAGAAAATAACAATGAAGGCCTTTCATTGTTCAGATCCCACCAGGCCATGGTTCCAAAATCTTCAATGGCTCCCCACTGCTCAGAGCAGCTTCTTGAGAACCACACTGAGCACTTTTCATATATTATCTCTTTTCTATCATACAAAATTGCAGCCAGTTTTAAATGAGCGCTGCCCCCATTTATCAAATAAGGAAATTGAGCTTAGACAGGTTAAGCGATCTGTTCAAGGTCACATAGCAAAGTTGAGCTGTGACTCAGTTTCTAATTTGATTTAAAGTAAATGCTCTGGTTGGGCACGGTAGCTCACGTCTGTAATCCCAGCACTTTGGGAGGTCGAGGTGAGCAGCTCACCTGAGGTCAGGAGTTCGAGACCAGCCTGACCAACATGGTGAAACCCCGTCTCTACTAAAAATAAAAAAATTAGCCGGGTGTGGTGGCACGTGCCTGTAATCCCAGCTACTAGGGAGGCTGAGGCAGGAAAGTTGAACCTGGGAGGCGGAGGCTGCAGTGAGCTGAGATCGTGCTACTGCATTCCTGCCTGGACAACAGAGCAAGACTCTGTCTCAAAAAAATAAAAATAATAAAAATAAAAATAAAGTAAGTGATCTTAACCACTGTGCTGTATCATCCACCATATCACATATAAACCCATCACCCTGGCTTCCTTCTCTCCAGCCTCACTTCCCATTGTTCCTTTACAAGGCATCTTAACTGCAGCCACAATAGACAGAGATTCACAAAGAGGCCATTCTAGGCCAATCGACCCATCTTTTAAGACCCATTTCAAATGGGTCTACCTGTCCTTCATCCAAGGAAATCTCACCATGGCAATGACCTTACATCGTATTACAGTAATTTGTATATGCTCCCACCACCACCACATACCCACTAGACCGTAAGCTTTCTGAGAACAAGGACTATGGTTTCTGTCTCCTCTAGGGCTTAGCAGAGTTCACAGAGCAACACATATCAAACAAAATATCCACAATATTTTCTAAATTGAATGTACTGGTTTAAAACAGAACAACAAGAATTCTAAACGTCATTTTAAAATGATGAAAACACAACACTCCTGTAATTAAGACAGTTTTCCGAATATGTTTACCAATATGAATTACCAATATGTCTATATGCTATTACTTTTAATTGGAAGAAAAGAAAAACATAGAACTCTCAAAGGGTAATTTTGTACAAATGAAATCCTTTAATTCTTTTTACCTTTGTTTCAAAACAAAATCCTTTGTTTCAAAAAACGTCTCAATAGGACTGGCAAATAAATGTCTTTTATCCACCCAAAAGACATACATAAGGAAAGATATTTACCTAACATAGGAAGAAAATCTGGTTCTGTTACTGTCCTTTTATAACCATTAAATTTTAATTACTCCTTCCACCTTTTTGGGTTTCTTGTTTTGTTTTGATGGAGAGGAAGGAAATCCCTTAAGGTCTCCAAAACACCATGGTCAAAATCAGTCAAACTTAATTCCATGCATGTTCACAGCATGACTTAGGGGTACTTTTTCTGATGGACAAATAAAACTTGTTTAAGAGATTCTACCCAGTTTTTGAGGGACATGATATCGCAGTCATATTTTTATACTCATTAAGTTAAACTTGTTATAAGTATCCATGGAAAAAATTCTGGAAAGTCCACATTCTAAAAGAGGAAAAAAAGATCAGTCTCAGCTGCACAATTGTTTGGCTACTTATCCCAGAGCCCATCCATAGTACACAGCCAGTCTCTCGCTACTTCTGCAGGGTTCTTGGTAATGAATGCAATTTGTACAAGTGTGAGCCTCCGGAACTTCAGCTAAGCCTGGCAGTGAAGCACTAGCGTGTCACTCTGCTAGCATCAACACTCAGAGATGGTGTAACTCAGATGTAATTTTAACCACTGTAAATTATTACCATCAAAATATCTTCATAAGATTTTTGCAGAATGGCACCAAAAGTTCAGTTTTGTTTAGAAAATTGAATAAAAAGTACATATTAGGAAGAAAGTTACTAAAACACATAATTGGCAGTGAGTGGCAGTTTTGTTGTTTACAGGAGTAACCCGTTTAAAACTACAATATATTTAGGCCAAGGCAAGCAAATCACTTGAGGTCAAGAGTTCAAGACCAGCCTGGCTAACATGGTGAAACCCCATCTCTATCAAAAAAATTAAAAAATGAGCCGGGCGTGGTGGTGTGTGTCTGTAAGCTCACTTACTCGGGAGGCTGAGGTGGAAGAACTGCTTGAACCCGGGAGGCAGAGGGTGAAGTGAGCCAAGATCATGCCACTGCACTACAGCCTGGATGATAGAGTGAGACTCTGTCTCAAAAAAACAAAAAACTTCAATACATTTAACTAGAGGTAATTTCTTTAGCCATAAATTAGATATATTACACTAAAACTGTATCTATATGTTTATAAATCTTCTAAGAGTTTACCTAAAATCAGTACTTTGGTGTTTTATATGAAATTGTAAAACAACTGGCTAGACAGACACAATGTCTCGGCAATTCCACATCTATATAAATACCCAGAAATATGCCATGGGTTCATCAAAAGATATTGTATAAGGATGATAACTATCCACAAGAGCCCTAAGCTAGAAACAATCCAAGTGAGTACATTAAGAGTACAATAAATTGTAGAATAATCATACCATGGAATGATACACAGCAATAATGACTGGGTAACATGAAAGAGTATCACAAAAATGTTCAATGAAAGGAACCAGACATAAAGGAATTCATACTGTATGATTCAATTTCTACCAAGTCCCCAGACAAAGCTAAAAAAAAGTCAGGAGAGAGTTCTCATGGGGGAGATGAGAAGTGATTAGAAGAGTGAGGTTGTCTGGAGTTCTGATGATGTTTCCTTCTTGATCTAACTACTGCCTACATGAATGTGTTCATGCTGTGAAAACTGTGGTGAGCTTACGACTTGTGTACTTTTTATATTGATGCTATATTTCAATAAAAAATTAAATCGTTACCCCAAAAACCTTGCCTCAGGAAGAAATTAACATGGAAGCAAAGAGAGGGGGGAAAGGAAAGACAATAAGGCAAAATTGTCAAACAGAAAAAAAAAAATAAAGAGACCTAATCATCTGAGTAAGGAACAAAGGGGTCACAGTTCATGTTTGTCATGTGACAAGCCTGAAGGATTCAGGGGAAAGAGCCATATTACAGCTGCCAGCACAGAGTTGAAAAGAAGGTCATTCCAACAGGATGCAGCAGAGGGCCTGAGGCAATGTTATAAATGAAAAAAACCCCAAGGGACTTTCAGTAACCCAACAGAAATGTCTTTCATGATTCACAACTTTACAAAGGTGATAGCATTCTCTTTCCCCAAATAGCAGCTAACTAGAAAGTCAATCTTTCTTGAATCTGAATGCAAAATATGTAGCATTTTTATTCCTGAGCTTATGATTTGGCGAAGTCTGCAATTGTAACTTGCCAATCACAATGACCTGGCCAAAATAACCATCTACTCTCAATTATCCACAGTTAAGAGGGTAGAGAGTACACAGATAACTTACAGCCATAAAAACCAAACCTACTTTTTCACCATCAGTTTTAATTTTCCTCTGCCTCATCAAGTCCTTTCCCCAGAGTTGACTAGGACTGATTTCTGGTCACATTAGAAATCACAAAGAACACTAACGTGATTAAGGGCCCAGAGTTTTTAAGAAAGGAAAAAAAAAAAAAAAAAAAAGGCTGTTTATTCTTCTCACTGTTAGCATACTGTTCATTTTGGAAATAGAAGGTTTTCCCACGTAACTTTCTACATGAAGATATTCCTTAATCTGGATTCTTCTCCTGGATGAAAATGAAACAAACAATTCATTTCCCAGGTACACAACAGATGTCCTAAGAAGCCGACTCAAACCAAAATGTTAACATCTTCTAAAATTGCCAGATAATTGTTACCCATTAATATTACCCAGCCCACTAACAACTTATCTCACCTAATTTGTTTTGTTATACCACTAAACTAAGTTTCTTGTTTTTATAATGAAACTTTGGAGGAACTCCATTGCTCTAACAAGAAAAAATGCAAAATCATCAGTTACCAATTTTAGATAAGTAACACCATTTTAATAATGATATTAAATAACTAAAAATAACTAGTAATCCAATTTTTATCCCTTCAACTTAATGCAGCAGGTGTTGTGAAATATAACCTTTAAAGGCTTTTCTACTTCTTTTTCCATATTTCCTTAAATTAGATGACTGCTCTACTACATTAGAAGCAGAAAGGACATCTTTATGAACCCAGGGTCTTCAGGAATCCTGTTGGGGTTTATAGTGACTCCATACAGGCCTCTCCTCCCAAGAGCCACCATCCATGGTAATGTAGCTTCATGCTAGTCCATGTTCTGATTCCATTCAAAACTATCTGGGTTACGGGGAACCTACTATGGGCAAGGAACTGTGCTAGGCAGCATAAGACATACATAACTGAACGGTGGCAAACACTCATTGCCTCCTCCATAGGCAATCTCAAATTACTTAATTTCTCTGTGCCTCAGTTTCCCAATCTGCAAACCAGGGACAGT